ATATCTAGATTGGTTTAGAATTGTAATTATTTACTTCGGCTGAGTAAAGTCGACATAAATATTTATTTATTATACTTTATTGTACATAAAATTATATTGTTATAATTTATAATATTAAAATAATTACGATTCAGGACGTACGTTTTAAAAGTCGTTGATCTCCGGCTAGTTTCTAACACGTTAAGAGTTAAATAAGAGAATAGTGGCGTGAATTTACAGAATATTAAAGTGACTCCTCTAATACTGACAATTCCGGGGGGAAAAAGGATTGTTAGTAATGGAGACTTAGAATCCCATTACTAGCAATATATCCAACCAGGTCGACCTCTTCGCGGTTCCCCCAGGAAACTATCATGATTAATTCCTGATGAATTCATCATGATGGGCTAACTGGCCTATTTTCATCCTCATCGATCACCCTTCACCGCTTGCCCCGCCAGCGTATCCCATTAGCGCAGGCGGGGTTACCACTCCATTTTCATCCAATAAAAAACAAAAAATACTAACGATCCCAAAATAAGTAGAAAATAATTATAACTAAAGTAAGCAAAACTATATGTGCTGACTTTATGAGAAGCTGAGATGCTGGTGAAGCTTATTTTTGATGTTTTAACTTTGTTGTAACTAGCCCTTATTCATGAATACGGTTGATGACTCTGTCGCAAAATAACACTGCGCGATCAGCGAAATATTTGTCGTTGGTTCAAAATAATTTTTTTTTTTAATTGTTGAGACCTGTTGAAAATTGCATTTCCTATAAGTTACTTATATACCTATCTATTGATTCATAAAGAATTAACGTATAAGAATGTTACTGTGCCAAATAAAACTAACTAAGCACATAATACGTACCTACAACAAGCAACATTCCAATTAAACGAAATGTATAATTGATCAGCGTTGGATGGAAAAAGAAATATGCACAGTCATGAATAAATATGAAAGCGGCCGGTCACAACAGTGCAAACGTAAGTCTTGAACGGAAGCTTCAACAAAAAGGAATTGGTAAGAACACAGAGAAAACGAGGCGGCCTAATTTCTTTTAACAAATTGTTCTAATCCATTTATGGAACTGCTAAATTGGGGTAACGCAAGGCGACAATCAAGGAATATAAAAAAAAGTATTTGCGTAATAACTTTGTTTCTTCGCTCGTTAAATTAGATACGATGTTATATTCGTGTTTTGACAAGGATATATCTTTTTTAAGAACAATGACGAATATGTTATTTTCGTTAATGGGATTATTATTTTATTGGTATTTGGCGTTGTATAAACAACAAATGTCATGCCAAACCAAAGTATTAATAACACCTGAGCCCTCAGGAATGGCAACGCATGGGGGGTATCATGGGCGAAACAGTATGTTATGTCCATGGTACTGCTAATGTCTATAGGCGACGGATACCACTTTCCATCAGGTAGGACGTCAGCTTGTTTCCCATTCTAAGTTGCATAAAAAAAAGTATTATGTACTGGAATGGATGAAAATCAAATATATATTTTAATATTTTTAATCACATGTATCGATCTTCGTTAATGTTATGTGTGAGTAAAGTCGAGTTGTAAATATATATTTTATTTGCTCAGGTTTGAGTGTAATCTCGGCAATGCTGAGCCGTAATGCCCCTAGTATTGTTGCCGGCATTCGTATGGCCGTATGCTTTTTTTTTATACAACTCAGAATGGCAAACAAGCTGACGGCCCACCAAAGTGGTAACCGTCGCCTATAGATATGAGCAGTACCATGGATATAACAAAATATACCTACTGTATCGCCCAGTTATGCTTATTTGCTACCTCAGTGGTAAAAAAGAAAATCAGCTTATTTGTCATTCTAAGAACATATCATTAAAAATATTATTAAAAAAAAATAATTATCCCCTAAATGAGTACATAAAATTGCCAGAAACATTAAGCACTATGCCCGGGGTGGTCACGTGTTGCAAGCTTTGTAGTATAATAAGCCTCGTTGCGTATTTGTGGTATCGCTCATTAAGCTCGCTTTATTAATCTACACTTAAATGTACGTGTCAATCTCTGAGTACGTACGAGTATATGTGGGGGATTTTATATCATTAATAATTTGTGTTAAGACTGTGGTATTTTTTTTTAATGGATGATAATGGAATGGTAACCCCACCTGCGCTGGTAGGGCAGGTTTTTTTAATGAATGATAATGGAATGGAATCTGCGCTATCGGTATACAATGGCGGGGCACCAGTGAAGGATGATAGATGATGATGAAGCAGGTTAGTTGGCCCATCGTGACGAATTCAACAATAAATTAATCACGACGGTTTCTATTGCTAGCTTTTGCTAGCAATGGGATTGCTAATCTCCATAACATCCATTAACAATCCTTTCTCCCCCCAGGAGGGCAGGGCAGGTTTTTTTTTGATGGGTGAAAATGGTATAGTAACCTGCGCTAACGGGATACGCTGGCGGAGCACCAGTGAAGGGTGATAGATGAGAATGAAAACAGGCAAGTCAGCCCATCATGATAAATTCATCAGGAATTAACCATGATAGTTTCCAGGGGGAACCGCGTGGAAGTCGACCTGATAGGGTATATTGCTAGCAATGGGATTGCTAATCTCCATTATTTAAAATCCCTTTTCCCCCCAAGAGGGCAGGGCAGGTTTTTTTTTTAAATGGATGATAATGGAATGGTAACCCCACCCGCGCTATCGGTATACACCGGCGAGGCACCAGTGAAGGATGATAGGTGAGGATGAAGCAGGTCAGTTAGCCCATCGTGACGAATTCAACAAGAACTGTTCACGATGGTTTCCAGGGGGACCCACGTGGAGGTCGACCTAATAAGGTATATTGCTAGCAATGGGGCTGTCAAACTCCATTGCTAAAAATCCTTTTCCCTCTTGGGCAGGTCAGGTTAATTAATCCATCTTGATGGATACACCTGTAATTCAACTCGATGGTTTCTAGGAGGGTTACGGGGAGGTTAACCTGATTGGGTATACTGGATGAATGCGTTGCCATTCCTGAGAATTCAAGTATTATTCCTCTGTACCCTATAAATTCACTGCCATATCCCAACCTTCAAACCGACACACCGCCACGCAAACACAACTGCTTCACGGTAAAAATACGAATGAGATAGGTGCCCAAGCAAACAACTTTTGTATAAAGTCTCCTTTTTATAGCTATATCTCTCCTCAAACATTTTCAAACTGACTTTGTCTTCACCTATCATTTCAGTAATCCGACAGCGTAAATCAACTATAATAGTGCAACTGGAATTACCAAAATTATCTGTAGAATAAATAAATATATACAATTTTACATTTTATTGTATTTAGAAGGAAATTTTGTTTTACTGAAAATAAACGTATTGTTTGAGAACAATCCATCACATACATCGCAGCTATCTATTAATTTTTATAATCTGCTTGAAGTACTATCAATCAGGCTTATGTCCATAATTAAGATGTCACAAAAAAGATGATAATATTATGTGTATGTACAGAATTAATCCATAACAATATTCGACATCTTACGTAAAAGATAAGCAACCTCTTACCTAACCAAATGTTTCACTTTTAATAAGTAAGTTTTTTTAATGGATGAAAATGGAATGGTAACTCCGCTTGTGCTATCAGTTCACGCTGGCGGCCCAGTAAGGTATGACAGGTGAGGATGAAAACAATTTGGCTCATCGTGATGAATTCCACGATGGTTTCCAGGTAGAATCGCGTGGAAGTCGACCTGTTAGGGTATATTACTAATATGCCCTAACATAGCACATATAGGAGCCTGTTAGATGTCATTACTAACAGTTCATCATTACTTTTGTTTTATATTTAAGTATCAATAATGTTATTGAATTTGTGTAAAGTATAACTATATTATAACTATAAATTTTTCTAATAAGAATAAATAACAAATACAATTCCCCTGATGGTTAGCAGTCACAAACATTTGTAACGAGACACAGAAAAAATTTACAATTTATGATGACATGAAGATCTAAATTTACAATAAGAATCTAAAGTAAGTACTTTGGATGCTATGATTAAACTAATCATGCAAGTGATTTTAATAAAATATCGAATACTACTCATATATTTAATAGGCGACATCTATTGCGTAATGTATGCACTAATTGAATAGGAGCACTAAAGGCAGAATATATATTTTTTTCATTCATTCTGCAATTATAAGAATGTCGTTAGATGTCACTATAACAGAAAGTAATATGAAGGTAATGTAATAAGAATTCATACAGTTATTCATAGATGGCGCTTTATTACTTTTCTTGAAAATAAATTGATTTTAAAAATTTTAAATAGATGGCGTTAGAAGTCGAAATTATATTGACAATATAAACTCTGAAATAGTCTATTTCAATACAATTTAATGAAAAGATAAACCAATCTTGTTAAAATTAACATTCAATGAATTAAGAATTAGACATCAGCAGACTGTCGGGTCGACTGTTTGTTTGGGTTATTTATTTGTTTATATTTTCATTAATTTTTTATGGATGCAGACTATAAGTACCTATCTAATGCAATTTTTCTTTGTCATTAATCATTCTTGATCACATACGCTAATAAATCGTATAGATAAATCAAGAAATAATTAATTTCTGATAAAACTAATTCTTGTTCTGTACTTTATTTCATATGTTAGAGCTCCAAAGTAATATTTACTATAGATTTATTTTTTAATCTCTTGTATATAAGATGTTTACAGTAGTAACCGTCTACAGACTGCCGTCTTTATTAAATTTAGAGGTATTTTACCTATATCTACTACACTCGAGATTTTAGCTAGTACTAGATAGCTACCATAGGCGACATCTGTTTGGGTAAAATTAGGTACCTATGTAACTATTCCTACAACTAATTATTTAGGTTATTTTATTTCCAAAAACTGTTATCATTAAGCGTCTCAAAACTTATTATTTTCTCAACTTTATTCTGGGAACTTTATAAGGTAGCATAGAGACAAGAATTAAGGCAAAGAAAATCAAATATCATGATGGAATTTATTTATTTTTCATTAATTCAACAAAAGATTACATTTTCTTCTAAAATTTCTCACGCTGTCAAAAGTACCATTACATCGTGGTCAATTTTAATAGTTAGAATTTAACGTTTTGTTAAACCATGGCTGGATTGTACATATTACCTATTCTTAATTCTCAAAATATCAGGCTCAATATGAGCTATCTAAATTCTCGACCGTCGTCCTTCTACGATAATAATTGACAAGTTATTAAGGCAATTCAAAGTCGTTTAGTTATTCATCAAATATATTTATTTCAGTATATTTTCATGTGTCTATCACAGTAAGGACCCGGCGAAAATCCAAAAATTATACTACCATAAGCATGCAAATAACATATCTCTCGAAAATATAAACAACTAAAAGACATTCATTATACATTTTTCAGTGAATTTGTGTTGATATTAATTCAATATTGTCAGAAAATATTTTTTACGTGTCATTACTCTTAAAATTGTACCATAGATCAGTCTCACTCACAACACAAATGAATGATATAAAAATACTGCATGAAACCACAAGATGTTTAAAATATTGATTCTTATAACAGACACAAAGTACATCCACAAGTAAATTATCTTCACAAAACTATTTGATCGATGTTTCGCTTAACGATACGACCATGTCTAGAATAATAAGTTAATGGACTACAAAATGCCCTAATTAGTCAAATACTATTTTACAAGGCATCATTATTTTTAATCATTATTGGATTTTCGTTACTAGTATGCGCGACCGCATCTTCCTAATAGGTTTTTCACATTCATAACATTAAATTAATAATTAAGCTAAATTCAATTGACTATCACGAGCACTTCACTTTAACATACAGAATTCAGCAACATAATAGCACGCACAAACAACAGCGTTCTAATACTTAATAATACAAACCTAGGCTTTAGATCACAATGGTGTTGAATGATGAGTGATACATAGTTCATTAGAATTAATTGGTCGAAAAGATATGTTTAAAGATAAAAGGCTGGATAGCCGTGCACATGTTCTATATAAAATTTTGATATTCGAGTTACGATATGAATTGTTACGTATTACAACCATGATCTGTGAAATCATCTAATAGAACAGAGCAGTTGAAGCCTGCTTCAGTGATGTAGTACTAATTGTTGCTTCATTTGTTAATACACATATATCTGCTTGAGCTGCGGCTTGAGCTCGGGCGGGATTGTGTACACTTCTTGTTCGGGCTTCTTTTTCACGAGTCTTTTCCAACGACCGCCGATGTTCTTACGGAGACTACGGAAACTCGCTCGTTCATTCCCGATGGGCTGCATTAAGTTGTCCTATAAATAAGAAATAATAATATTAATTACATTCGCTGTATTATATGCAAGTGTAGTGAACTTTAAATTATAGGAAGTTCACGGAGTTTATCGACCTACAAGGATCGGTGCCCGATTTAGCGGTTCCGTTACCGTCCCAGATGCATTTGATGCATTCGAAGTGGTGAAACCACTTTCAACGGCATACAATGAATGCTATTTTAAAACGGTTATCTTTAAATACAAACAAGGATAATAATAAAGGAAACTTCTTATTGGACTCTAAAATAGTAGTAGTTTATCCGATTAGAACGTGATTTTATTTAATTTGACTAGCCGCGACCTAGAAATCTACAGAACAATAAGTGCTTCGCAGTTTTTTTATTGCAATAATTATTTCTTCACATACGGGAGTCTTAAATAACTAGGAAGCTAATATTGCAAAGTAAAGTCTGAGGCCATACGAGACGAGCCTTGAATACGCTATTCAAAGACGCATTAGCATTCTCATGCTTCCTGGTGTGGCATCTACTCTGATCGTGAAAAAGAAATATTATTGTGAATTTGGCCAATTTAGCAAGCAACAAATAAAATTATTCTAAAGTTAGGCCTCGGGAATTATTTATTAGAGCGTGAAATTAAGGCCAAACGATTTCACGAGATTTAAACTTGTTGTGGTGTATTTGCATTAGCCTCCTTTGTTCAAGCAATCACAAAGAAAGAAGGTCGTGGTATTGCAACATGTTCGCCTTGTGCAGCTTTCTATTCTGCAAGCGTGTCCCGACATTTAAATTTATTTCGCACTTAGATATCGTGGCCATGTTGAACATAGCGACTCTCTCTCGTGTGGCGGGGACGTGGGCCGGACCAGTCACGATTTCTTTAACGTTCCCAACAACTTTCCATATTGTTTGATTGTTACCGTGACTACATAAGAGTTCGACTTCACTTAAAAGCAACTGCAGCTGAATGTTGCTTATTAAAATAGCATTGAGGTCAAGTATAACGACTGGAACTGGTTTTGTTTCTTTAAATAGACTCATGTTGTTAGTTGTATTTACTACGTTACTAGCTTTTGTCTTAATATTTATTGCGTACTAACCTGATCATGAGGATAGACGTAAGGCGGAGGCAGCGGCGGTGGGAACTGCCACAGCGGTTGCTGGCGGAAGGTGACAGGCTCTGACGGAGGAGCTGGGGTGGCCTGAATCACTTCAGCTGGATGCACCGAAGCTGAATGCTCCTCGCGCTTGCGCAGCTTGCTGTGGACGATGCGAATCGCCATCATAGTACCATTATTTCCAACCATTGTTGTAAATGGTCCGTCAACGCAAGAATAACTGAACGCACTAGATTGAATCACAGTTAACAAGTTCCAGTCAGGCAGTCACAACATTTGTTTAACTTTTCACAGTTTTCACTCACAGCCGTATCGCGGTCTGAACAACGCGTGTAACTAAAACTAATTTAAATAAATTATCACAATTATTCAGTACAAGCTATTGCACATATCACTGCTCGTAGGAACGCGCGGATAGACCGCGTTACGCGAGCTTCAGCTGCGCGGTGGGTGACTAGAATATTATCGTAAGGATAGGCCGGCAGGTGCCTAGCAAAGCGCTCGCTCGTGCCAAACGACCTCTACGGAGTACTCCATGCGTCTGAGTTGAAGTGGTGGGGCGGCCATGGCTTTTATAGACGCGCTTGTGACGCGGCGACAATGCGGGGTGGGGAAAGGTAAGGGGGGATTCACTATGGCCGTTTTCCGCGAAAAACTCCGAATGGCGATACCGGTGATAACGTACTGGTTACATGACGCAGCGAAGGTTTAACCGTTGGTTTGGCCCGGTTACCAGACCCATAAAAAATATAATTCGCATTAAATATAACTCTGGTAAATCCTCAACGAATACGAATAACGAGCGAAATACGAAATGTGTGTGAAAACTGTAGTTTTTCCTTTTATTCTTGCGTCGAGATCGGATTTTCGAAAGGACACATAAGTTTTAAGATAATCGTTACAGAAATAAATCTCTAAAGATTCAGGCATATAATTCATGTATGAGTATAAATACCACGTTGTTTAATAATTTAAGATTCTGCCGTACTCAGAGTCATTGAAAAATTACGTAACTTCTAAGTATATAAATTTAAAAAGTCCCTTTCAGAGTCAATTACTGGTTAATTAGGGGCTGGTAACGGCAATTACTAATTTTTTTTTAATAGGGCAATTAACAATTTTAATTATCATTAACTAATGTCTCATTAGTGTTAATTTAATGAATTTCTCTGAGTGCGTCAGTTAGCTAGGTACTTGTTACGAACAGGTACTTAGTAAAAAGTAACCTATTGTGAAAATTATAACACTTAGGTATAGAAATAAATAAAACACGCCCCTATTAATTGCTTTCGATGGTAACGTTATTGTAAAACATTGTATCGATTAAACGACAGTTAATCTAAAATGTGATGTTCACCATAAATCGAGTTCAAAGTCCATAACATGAAATGCACAACTGTGTATGTAGAGTATAGACTACGCACAGCTGAGCCTATGAATAAAATGATCGCAGCGAATACTTGTTTTGTATCTCTTTCCAATAAATCCTTGCATGGGTATGTGTAAGAGGGAGTTGGATATGTTTTAGTAGTTGCTACTCGAAAAGGTAAAGTAGGGCTGCAGGGCAAGGGAGAGCAGGAAGGTGCAATGCCCTTAGCCGCTCCTAACTTAGCAAAGCTCGACTTCAACTTGAATAATGGCTGACGGGATAAAAAACACAGGTAGTGAGCCATTACGTGTCGTTGCCCTTGAGAGGCATCTAGAGGATGTCTATAAAAACTAGTTTTCTGTAGACGATAAAGATTTTATTGTAATTAACTGCAATTATGTAAAATTTTATACATACAAGTGAGAAGAATTTAAAATCTTTAAGAACTAATTATTTTACCTAAACAAATATATATTTGCCAAGAGGAATAAGTAAGTATAATCTTTTAAATCCATTTAAACATAACTAGCAAATATAAATAGCTCAATAAGCGATTGATAATAAGCAACCGTTATACCTATAGATACATATTTGTTTATAAAATTAACACATGTCAATAATAATAATATCTTTGTAAGAATGACGAATAAATTATGTTTAGAAAAATCATGCATTAGTTTGCAAACAGTAAAATGGAAATTTTGCACGTAACTAATTCATTGTAATTTCAATATTATCATTTGCTTTAATAAGGTTAAGGTTAACAAAACTGTTCGAAGTACAAAATGTGAAACAAATCGTAAAAACATAACCAGACAAGAAAACCAGATTATATATACTATAAAACATAAAAATATGGCAGTTAAATATTCTTGAATAAACATTGAAATAGATAAATATGTGACCACCCAAGTGTTCTATCTATCTCTAGTAGTGTTAATGAAATTTTATTATTACAATGTAATAAATGATGTAATTTTTTTATAAGTGAATAGGCAAAAATTTTCTATAAGTTACTCATTTTATTATAACAATCCCTATATAAAAAAGAACACCTAACTAAGCTCCAAGCACGTACAAATAAATAGAAATGAATACCTATATAATTTTATATGAAACGATGGACAAGATAAATCTTTTCAATCTTATCCGCTTAGCAACAGGAGTACGTTCCTACACAAAAAAACAGACCCCCTGTTGAAGGTCCCCTACCATGGAACGTTATTCTAAAGTTTGGCATTTCTTCGTACAATGAAACGCTGAAAGTTTTGTTCGGTGTAATGTTCGTTTGTCTTACTTGTATATATCATATAAAGGATCTGGAAGACTTTTAACAGCAGTTGTTTCGTGGTTTTAACATTTAAATTTGTTCGTCCTTCAAATTTAAAATAAACCGTAGCAGGTAAGCATATTGTTCCTATTGTACCTGTAGTATTCATATTATTTATTGTTTTATTTTGAATTGTAACCTTCTAAATAGTTTTTATATTTGTTAACTGTAATTTTTATTATTTATTTATTTATTCTTTATTGTACACAGAAAAAATTACAACATATTATATATATAAAATAAAGATGTACAACAGGCGAGCTTAACTCTGTTAGAGTTCTCTTCCAGCAAACCCTTTATTTTAATTTTTATTTAAATCTGTATGACTATTTAGGTGATCATTAAGTCTGTCATCTATTAAACCTACGTTTTGTTTTTTTTTTTTTTATTTTCGTATTTAATTGTGAAAAAGTGTCATATTATTATTTTTAACACCAGTCAATAAATATGATTCAATATTATTATGCTTACTTCCAAATGTACTGACCTCTTCTTACGTCAATAGAGGCTATCTATTCGGTGTATCAGACTGTGAAATAAAAAAATTCCAATTCCACATTTCAAGATGGTGTCGTGGTAACAATAAACAGGTGCATTATATTGTTAATTGGATGAGAATTTTAATTGTAACTCTAACTTTAGATTAAAGAAGGTTGTTAGCCGATAAATGTATTCTTTTCAACTCGTTTGCATTGTTATTTCGCGCGAAGTCCCGTTTCTTGCGACGTTATAAATGTACCTACACGGCAATGTCCTGATATTATTTCTAATGTTACCAAGAGTTTATAATATCTAGACTTTAGTTATTTTTTATGAAATAAGAAATAGCAGGAGTAATAGATTTTCTTGCTTTTTTATTAATTAATTAATCTTTATCATCTTTTGTGTTAATAGTAAAAACATGCACTTTACAATTATACTATTTAAATTCTGTAATTATTTATTGTGTATATTCAATATTTGCTTAAAAGAGAAAAATTTAATCTATTCTCGGAACAATATAATCAACTATATTATTGTATATTTAATTTAAATGTCATCGACTAAAATGGTCAGGTTATTTTACTACTTTCTCTGGCGTCGAGCTTTCTCCAATGCCAAATAATAATAATAAGGAATTCTCTACTTATACCTGAAGATCAATCAATTAAACCTTATTTGTTAAAGTTATTTATACCAATCACGAATCATACTCTCTCTGCCTCAATAAAAGGTATGTAGAAATAACAACTAACTTGTCTACTGTAGTGCTAAATGTAATTTTAATAACGTGCAGATACAAGAGTACAAATACAAGTTTAAATAAAGGAAAGAAACACAAAAGGTGAACACTATAGAGTTGTCTAACCTTCAAATTACAATGTTACTTATGTATGTGTAGATAAATATATAATAGAAGCTAAACTGCTAACTGACAGGCATACCAAAATACTGGAGTCAGACGACCAAGAATATAAAGAAGATCAAGACATAGTTGCTACAGGCATTTACTAAGAAATTCTCAACAATATTTAGTCTCATATTTAAAAACAAATCCTGATAGATATAAATAAAAAGTAAAACCTGCTGTACATAATAGATTTTGTACTAATGTAGTTGCTTAGGATAAAGATTCGTTATTATAATTATTTAGGAGCATAGACGTCAAAACAGATAAGAGAGATGTTGATAGGTGGTCGTCTATTATACTGTGTCGTAATATTATTATATTTTTCAAGAGAATCACGCTGAAGATTCATGTTAACTCTTAGTCAGCATTAGATAATTCTAAATCATCTTGATGCTATCACATCGGTATCTGTGTTTGAATTGATAACACTTTTATCTCTAACGATTATATTAAGCCAATTTCTCACAGTACATTGAAATATGATCTTAAATATTTCCAGTCATGAATAAAAAATATCCACAATATTGAAAGAATTGACAAAAACAAATAACACAGATTTGAAAAATATAATGAATATTTAAACAAACGAAACTTATTGATTAATTAACATAACATATTCAAAATAGCTAGTTTTTAACATAACAGACATTTTAAAATAAAAATACCTGGATTTTCTGATTCTAATGCCTATGAAAACTATTAATACAACATATTTTTAGCGTTAGAAATTAACAAAGAAACGAACGATATAAATAACAATCGATGGAGCAACACTACGACATCTCACACAGGTTGTGAGAGAACTTTCTAAAGTTGATATCTGATCATACAAAACCTATCATGTTTAAAGATAAATTTATCGGCATAACGTGACATTCTGACAAATTGATATATGTACATACCGAATTTACTATTAGTATAATCTGACAGGTTATTTGAATACTTCAATTTCTTTTGAATCGAACAATTTCAAGAACTTTCGACGAACTGTCTGCCTCGTATTTCATAATAATAGAATCTTCCAACACGAAATGATGAATGATGGTTATTAACAGCAAGTTCGACCGTGATCATTGACGTCAACAGTAGGATGGGAGTCAAATGGGGTACATATTTAATATGTAATTTCAATTTAACAGTTGCAACTTCGTCCAATACACAATGGTCTATAACTTCCATAAATTATGTGTATTCTTTTAATTTAATTTATTTATTTATAAGAATACCAACATCTTTACTACTTGAATCTTATATATTAAAATTACGTAATTAGAAGATATTCGTAATATAAACGTCAATATAAATTTATTAAGAGAAAAAGTTTATTAAGGGAAAATTACACTCAGTAACAATCAGTAGTATTGAAATAGAACAGAAATCAATAACTCAGCAGATAATGGGGAAAAATACATAGGTACTGAGTAATAATAATTATGTAATGTAATGTGGAAAATGTACATATTGTTAATGAATTATTGATGGCAAGCAGTAATGGTTATTGCCTAATTAGTACTCATTTAATTAATCATTGATTATCAATCGTTTGTACATATTCAAGAACTACTATAAGAATTAAATAGTAGTAGTATTTTACTAGAGGGAGATTTTGTAAAATAGTCGTTTTCTTGGGTCCTCTGTCCCATTCATGTTTCAACCGGGAAGCAGTTGTGTCTGCATGACTGTGTTTCGGTTTAAATGGTGCGATGTGGCAGTGAACTTACAGGGTACAGAGGAATAATACCCGAGTCCTCAGGAATGGCAACGCATGGGGGGGGGGGGGTCGTGGGCGAAACAGTATATTCTGTTATGTCCATGGTACTGCTCACCTGATGGAAAGTGGTAACTGTCGCCTATAGCGCCATCAGCTTGTTTGCCATTCTAAATTGCATAAAAAAGCATAATATTAAATGGTATCATTTGCCGATTTGTTGGATTGGAAATTGCCGTATGGTCCCGGCATAGAATAGGCCATTTCTTTTCCGTAGGTATCGTAAGAGGTGACTAAGGGAGTGTAAGGGACGTGCAATAGCGTTTCTTTTAAAATATCTCTAAAGCCAAGCATGACAATTACTGGCAAATCCCCACAAGGAGGAGACGTATATTCAGCAGTGGACAGTTAAAGGCTGATATAATGATGGTGATGATGAAATGATCTAAATTACTAAAAAAATGGATTTTGTTTCACTGGACTGGACTTTATTTCAAGCACTAAAGCATTTTGGTAAATATTAATTTAATATATTACTATTTATTGATTTTAAACTGTTTATTGTCTTGTATGATGATTTTATTGATGTCTTTAAAAGGGTAGAGGAAGCACTGATTAGAGTTGAATGACCTGTATGAAAAATAATGTAGTCAGAGGGGCGGTGAATATCAAAATGACTGCAAATGGAGATATATGGAAGAGGAAAATATATGGCAGGGAGATGATGTAGTTTGAAATGTAAATCAAACAAATAAAACAAACTAATAAGTATCTGCTTTTAATTGTGTAAATAGTTTCAACACCTGGTATTTGCAAAATATCCATCCAAAAGAGGATATCATATTAAAGAAATTTAATTTTTGCATAAGTATCGTTTTGTGATTTGCAACGTTACTTATAATCACGTTGCTTCTCAAGCTTTTGTTTATAAAGTTCACTCACGTCTGTGTTTACGAATTCGTCCGCATAGTGGTTATATAAACGGCAGAAGAAAGTCGACTCACACCTGCGCGGGCGCACACACCTGCCTTCCATCAGTGTAGGTTAACATGTTACAGATATAGACAGAAGGTTATCTTTCAACCTCCACTTGTAACCTTTTTAACAAATGCTATATTCATATTGTATATTTATATATACATTAATATAGCTTTTCATATCAGTTTCGTCACTTTATTTCCGTATTCTTAAAGCACCGTCTATCGTGCGGAAGTAAAAAATTGAATAATAGGAACAATATGCTCTAATACAAATCAGACTAGTAATTGTTGTACTAACTATAGCCCTTTGAAGTACTGGTACAAAAAGAGTTATCGAAAAATATCATGAACGAGTATTTTTCTAGAAAGCAAATACTGGAATATTTCTAATGGTACCTTTAATTACCAACCTTCCAGAAAACGTTACGTATTAATAGTTACAGAGAAGTGAATAATTCTATTAGAAGGCATTGTACGACCGACCACGACCTTGTTCTCGCGTTTCGGTCATCAAACAGTTCCTGCTGCTCAAATACCTATATCAAGTTTTTATCAGATTTCACGAGTTCTTGAAATTGACTCATTCTAGAATTGTTTTAAATAGAATCGATCGTTGGATATAAGAACAATAACTAAACATGGAATACGACTGCAAAAAACCACTAAGTAAATACGAGTACTATTCTAAAACTGTCATTTATCCTCAAATATAGACGAGACGGTCGATAGAGAACTACTCGACTACTCGCCTTGACCAGATGAAATAACCTTGAAAAGTTTGCACTGAAACGATAGACAAACAAGTTTCGCCATTGCATACTGCAATTAGAAATAATCTTGAATTGAATTTGTAATAAAAATATAGGAACTAACAAGTCATTTCAAACTTTGCAGATCTTTATACTTTCACACCGTTCGACAAATAAATTGGCAATTGCGTATGGCATTGCAAGAAGCAATGTTACTTTAAATCTATCATAAAAATAAACTAACAAGTTATTCCAAGTTGAAAATATGAAAATAACAGTCAGAAAAACAACGGATCAGATGATAGCGAATTACCGTTACGTATGAGAATGGGATAATTTGATGTAATCAGTTAGCATCGTACCAAATCACAGAACGGTGTGAATTACCCGCGCTCGAAGGGATTGTTCCTATCCCTTCCGCAGAGGCAGACAATAGTTTTGTTGACTGACAGCACAATCAGAGAGTTGTGTTCCAGGATCACGCCGACCTCACAGTTTTCCTCTTTACACTTCATCGCCTCGACGGCGATCGGAGAGAAGAGCATCGAAAGGCGGGCACTGACACTTCACACGAGGGTTTTTGTTTTGTGACCGAGGGCGGGAGCGGCGTAACGCCGAACTGGGGCGCGCGAACGCGCAATTTGGCGCAGACTGCCAGACTGCCGCCTTCACGAGTTTTCAATACACACAGCCGACCCGACGGTGACTATTTGACTGCCTGAGCGGCGGTCGTGGCGTCGGCCACCACGCCTCGCGCAGCGGTGGGTGGCGACTGTACACGCACCTCTCCCGTTACCTTATTGCCATGTTATGGGGACTCGACCCCGCAATGCGAAAGCTCCATAATCAACCGTTACGGTGTTTTGCATTCACATCCATCGATCCAGCACGATCGACAAATCAACAGCAATTTAATTGTTCAGAAATATCCAGCACCAAGGTGATTCGACACGGTCATGCGATTCACACGCGCGCTAATAAGTGACAGGTATTTCTAATTATCTCATTGTTTCTCGACCCGAAGTGCGTCTTTCAAATTCAAATCTTCGCGGAGACGGCTTTGTTATTCGCTCGTCGTGGCTTAACTGAAAACAGTTGGTTTGGACGTCAACGGATGTCGGTCCCTATATAGCATTTATACATAACAAATAGGAGACAATCGAATAAGCATTGTGTATGTGACATTACTGAATATATTAAGACTGCATTGTGCTCTCGATGCGCGTCAATGCACATTTAGAATGAGGGTATGGAAAATAGGCACGTTTCAAAACAATTTTCTCGGCTGCAATACTGATAACACCAGTTGCTAGATAACATGGCTTACCTTAGAATATACGCTTAATTTCTATACAGTTATGACGTCAATCGTTGCTATAGGTACTGTGTTATGATCCAAATAAAGATAATACTAGTTTTAATACATACCCCCTATTGTGTTTAGATTAGATAATTTTTAGCTTATAGCAACATGTGAGGTTTGGGAACCAACTCATTTCATTTAATCTATAATCTGTAATAAACAGGGTAATACAGGGCCTTACCTCTATAACAAACATAGATAAATAGAACATAAGCGTCATCTTAGTTCCAAATTAAGTAAACCATCTTTTATGAGTACAATTTATAGATATCATGCATAATCTTTATACGCCAAACAAAATACTCAAGCTACAAGGAACAAGTGTACCTCCGTACCTTGTCATTTTCTTTACAACCTGATATCTGTATTAAACGTGAATACCATAAAGCTTATACAAACAAAGAAATATACTCCTGAATATGAATGCTTGTTAAACGCAGAAATAGACGACGTAATCATTGGAACAAGAAGCAGTGTATTACACCACTATTATAACCAAATAACAAACTAACTACTGGCAAAATACTTTAGGCTTATGCTCAGCAGTGGGCAGTTATAATAGTGACTACCATGAGGATGATGAAACTAACTGAAAAAAAAGTACACCCAAACCGTAGACACAAAATATTTACAAAATATTACGAGACCTTTCAATGAAACAAAAGAATCAAATCATTTAAATACATAAAATAAACGAATTTAGAACTTTTTTGAAGCCAATTGAAAGACCTAAAGTTTAGCATATAAAATGTAGAATCAATGTACCTATCAAAGTACAGTACACAGCGTTCTCATGCAAATAAATGCAGGGACTCAGAATAACGGTGATGTCCATGTCTAACTGCCTTCTGATTCAATGCACCGTGGGAGCATCCAGTACCGTATAATACCTGGCCTCTAATATACAACATAACGATTTATATTACTTCAATAATGTATTAGAAAATATGTTCTAAATATATATACCTATTATTGGAAGAGGGGGGGATGTATTGTTAGTAATGCGGACTATCAGTTCCATTGCTAGCAATATATCCTGTGAATTAATCTCCACATGGTCCCCCCTGGAAACCATCATGCTGAATTCCAGATGTATTCATCACCATGTGCTAACTGACCTGCCTTTCCATCTCACCTATCATCCCTAACTGGTGCCCCGCCAGCGTATACCGTTAGAGCAGGCAGGAATGCCATTCCAATATTCTCCATTGAAAACAAATATTGCCTATTCTTATTTTTAAATACACTATCGGGACTTAATGCGACGAAAAATCGCAGGTAAATAGCCCTACATACCTGATTTTTATTGCCCACGTTTACCTGCAATTATTCATTGGGTAAAGTCCCGATAGTGCATTTAAAATCAACAACGCGAAATTATCCGTACATTTTTGTAAATTATAATTGTTACTAGTTTTTTTTTTTTTTGCTTCATATCGCTACTTATCAGACCCATTTTTTTTATTATCAGGATAAAAACTATCCTACCCTCTCATGTTGGAACAAAAAATAACTTAGCTAGCTTAGCTTTCAGCGAGTTAATGACTGAACCAATCTCTATGAAATTTGGCATATACATACTATATGAGATGGATAAGAATATAGGCTATTTTTAATCCAGGTTAGTGAACATATTCTGGTTACACAGACGAATTCGTGAGTAAACGCTAGTAATAAATATTTTAAGAACAACAACAACACAATTTTATTATTGTGCCAAAATAACAAAAAATCATTGCGATTCGACATTTAATGTTTTGGACGTTGAATGTATTTCTTTGATCACAGTAAAGATATTTTCAAATACCTTTTTACTAATCTAGATAAATTATGCGTTCGTAATGAACCAAACATCAAGAACGGTTGTTATAAATTTTAAAATAATTGAAATAAAAAAAAGGAATAAAGAAGTTTATATCAAAGACGTCAATCACGATAAAAAAGAACAGATACAAATACGATAATGAGGAAAGGTTATTAGGTTATTAAACTTTTTAATTTAACAGAAATTAAGATTTATTTCATATACAGACTACAATATATATTTGTAGTATTTATGAGACTTATACCTAATCAATAGATTCATATAATATCAAGAAACCTTAAAATATTAATGAGAGATAAAACAAAATCTTTGAGGCTCCTTTCAGAAATTTATAGATAGTTGCACTATATTTACAAAAAGAATAATCAAAATCAATTAAAAATTTGTGAATTTATTATGTAACCTACAAAGGAAAAAAAATATTTTAATAACATCTCCTTTTGAAAATAATTTAAAATTGTAATTAGTGTTATAACTATAGGGGTATGTTTGTAATAATTACCATTACAAAAAATATAACAATACTTTTTTTTTTCACAACATTGTCAGGAAGACAAAATGACATACAATTTAGTTTTTACAATTACTCATAGACGTACATTAGTAATAATACTTGTAATTTACCGAACATAATGTATACAATTAAAATTGCATTAGTTTCTGGACGTTTCTAATTATATCTTTAATTCACAAACCGATTTCCATAATGAATTTTGCCGTGTAATTTGATTTACTGTCGCATCAGTTCCATATAAAATTTGTCACTAATGAAGTCACTGTTGTTCTTTTTTGTGGAGCAAAACTTAAGTAAGTTTCATCTATTTCAATAGAACTAAAATAAAATGTAGACAATGAAATACTTAATTCGACTATAAGACTACTATTTATGTCCAATAGTGGTAGAAATAAAAAATATTAAATAATTCTTAATTGATTCATCACATCAGCCGTTAACTGTCCATTGCTAAACATAGGCCTCCTCCATAATGGGAGTTTTGCCAATAGTTGCCATTCTTGGCAAGCGGATTGGCAACCGCAGTTAGGCATTGATGATATATTAAGTAAAACGCTACTGCCCGTACCCCAATCATTAAGTTCCCTTAGTCGCCTCTTAGGATACCCACATAAAAGGAAGGGGTGGCTCATTCTATACCAGGACCACATGGCTTAATTATTGAATATTCCGATTTGTTAGTAATTTTATTTAGAGAGTGTCTCTGTGATAATTTTAACAAAACTTAGTTACCTATTAAGTTTTATTGATAAAGTATTTACATTTTTAATGAATAATAATGCTATGCTAATTGTGAGTACTATTGCGGGGCACCAGTGTCAAAAAGTTACTTGTTATTTGAATAGAATTATTTTGTTTAATTTCGCTACCATTAGTATGTGTACGACTGTCATGACTCAAAGATTGATAATCGAAGAAGATCGAAGAAATTCCACGACCATGGAAGGTTTATTAACTATTATTCTCCAGCTGCCATTTTGTTCACACACGTTTTGAGACACGTGCTGAAACACGTGGTATAATTTTTCGTTGCTTGAAACTTCTGCTAGTGGTGGTCAATCTGTGAGTGTTGGCAGTCACACACATACTAATGGTAGCGCAATTAAACAAAATAATTCTAATCAAATAAACAGTGATATGGACTTCCGCAAGATAACACCTAGTTCAGTAAAAAGAAGTTCCTTGGTTTATCGCGGCGAATTCATTATTAGAAATTGACCACGTGGTTTTCAAGGGCGACCACGTGAAGATTATTTGACAAGGTATATTGTCATCATCACTAACAAATCCCTTCTATCCAAATCTACGCACTAGTTACAACATTATGGCCGTGAATACTATCTATTTTGGCCGTGGTTCGTAATTTTAAACTCAATCGTTAGCGAAAATTCTAAAATAACATAGTATAACAATAATACCCGGGGATTATTGTTATACTGGTGTCCAGACAGACCGAAGTTGGCACCCGTCCATCTGTTTCATGACGGGCCTTGACGTTTCATTGCTCGTATTAACACGCGAATTTCATAATGACCACCACTATTATGACAATTTCAAGCAAATATTTACAATATAAAAATTATAATGTGGTTTGCGATGTTGTACCTTTATACTGTTTTTACTAATGCATCTATCTATATAAATAGAAATTAAATACAGTTCGTTGGTAAATGGAACTCCTAAATAGAGAACGAATGGATTTATTTGAGATTTCTTTTAAATACTAATATGGCAATGACTATCATAAAAAGTATAGTAAAAAAAAAAAAAATTATGGAAAGGAAATAAAATAGAATTTAGATAAGACAACGTTTTTATTAGTTATTTTATTTTTTAGGCAACATAGAATGTTAAACAAACTGAAAAGTCAACTGATGAAGAGTGATATCAGTCGTCTATAAACGTGAAAGTACTATTGCGGGGCACCAGTGTCAAGAAGTTACTTGTTATTTGAATAGAACTATTTTGTTTAATTTCGCTACCATTAGTATGTGTAACTACCAACACTCGAAGATTGACAATCGAAGAAGATCG